CGCTTATCAATCTTGAGCATGTCCATACCATGATGCACAAGCTTTTCTGATTGCGCTGGCTTCGCTGGATTTGTTCGTCGGAAGTATAGAGTGCAGAAGTTCCTTCATCGACGCAGCTTGCTGCGTTGCGTTCGTCGTCGGCGGGCTCACCACTTTTGTAGGGCCCTTTACTTTGTCGTCATTTAGATCGGACGATGTTTGTTGACGGGCTCTCCACTTTATTGGCCCGTTGATCTGACTCCAGTTAGATCGTGTGAATTTTTGTTATCGCCTATCCTCGTATATAATCATCGACTTTAATCGCGTTAGTCAATAACGAGAATGGACTTTTGAATACATATATTTTGTAGAGAGAAAAGAAACGACGCAGAGTGGAGATGGCTGGTATTTTGGTGGAGTTTTGTTCTCTGAGCTGGATGGTTTGGTCGTGGAGCTTTCATCGTTCTTCTGAACGACATCATCAGCACAAACTTCAGATAGAAGAAGATGGCTGGTAAGCCAACTCCCCATTTAACCAAGCGTTAATCAATATTTATAGTTACACAAAAGTAAGTTACAGACATGTGATGAGTAATGGATTGATAAATGTACACACACATACGCGTTCATATAAAAACAGTCAAGATTGATAAGCGATTAAATAACAAGGTCAGAATGTGACTCAAGTAGAATGAATAGAATGGGCTGTCTGAAAGCTAGAATAAGGTATGTGGGCTTAACATAATAACCGACACTACAAGTTTATCACCTTTATTTGAAAGTAAATTATTCACTCACTATACTTATTCTTGCAATTAAAAATTCATTGATTGGTACTTGTATTTAATATGCGTCTATTAATTGTATCGAATTTTGACAAACTCAAGTGTTACTTTATCCAAGACACATTTTTTTTTATAAATGATGATTGCTAATAATACAAGCAGACACACATCGTCATCGCCATCATTGGTCCCGCTGAGTAGAAAGAGATCTTTTGCTTGTCATAGTTTTTAGTTTAATTGGAATATCTGTTTTTATTGAAATATATGTATGTATGAAAGAATTACTGATTAGTGTACAGTAAATAAATCTATGCATAATGTGTAAATATTTGTAATAAATATACAATTATTTCTGAATATACATTATCTTTTATTGAACTTCCAACAATTGTACAATACTGCACTACATCTGCTTTCATCGTTTTATCTTTTTCGATAGATTGTGCAAATTTGTGTAGATTATTGAAATGCAATTGTAACTAACACTGAACAATACTAGATCCCTAATGTGATATTTTAATTTATCTCAACTATGTTTTATACATAGACCAAGTGTTGCCTGACTGTCTCATTATTATTAATATTAGTGGCTTTACTCAACATTATATTTTTGGTACAATATAGAATTCTCAGTACAAGGTTTTTTGAAAAGTTTCTTTTACAAAAAATAAAAAAGTGAAAGAAACTGATAACCGCATACATAATATATACCTAAGTTAAGTAAATAAACTACCTGGAATGAAATGAAATGTTTTTTAAAGATTATTTGAATCTGTACAACTTACTAGTTAGAAACATGTTTAAGAATACAAGTTGTTGACTAGGTGAACTTTAACAACCTGTTCGTCACATAATATATTTGCTAGATAAAGTATTATAGAGCTATAATATCATTCCTTGCGTGCATGGATTCTAAAGTATTGACGTCTCGTTCTACTAGAAGATATACACGGCGAAAGATATGAGTGGAGGAGATGGTTAGTATCAGATAAGATAACACCTGCCAGGAGTTCGCAAGATTCTGGATATCTATCCACAACCATATTATTAATGACCTCAAAAGATTCACCCTGCTTACCACCATCAGCACTCTGCAATACAGCAATCTTTTCTCAAAAGCCAGAGAAGAAAAAGATGAAAAACTATAAAGAATAATAGGTAATGTGCAAGAATTGACAAATTGTAAGAGTAAATATCGAGTAATCGCAAAAGCATGCAGCCTCTTTATGTAGTAAGTCAGATGGGAAACCTTCTTCGATAGCAGCAAAACATGAGATCAAGAGAAATTAGAGGAAAAACTTGCACCAAAGTAAATGACTTTTGACACTGTTTATCAATGAATCCCCAATAGTATAAGCTTTATGCGATTCCAACAGAGTGTTTAGGTATTGTTCATATCTCATGTTAAAGTTAACAGTTTGACGTTTAGACGGGAAAAGTGTGAGCTCATTGACAACAGACCATCATTCCATACAAGACAAGAACTCATTCATTTCCAGGGAATGCAAAGAGGCAGAAGTCGGCATACGTACAGGGAGATCCTCCGCATATCTCACAAACGTGTTTTCTGTAGAAGATGGGAGACCATGCATAAACAAGAGAAAAGTGGAAAAAGAACAGCAGTAAAGAGATCGAACACTCCTCCAAACACGGTGTACTGCTCTTCCAGACATGTAGGAACATAGCTAGTTGGTTATCCAGCTGTCAGTGTTGACGCTGATTAACAGGATAGGTAGTTGTCTTGGAATGTAGTCAAAGGCAGAAGTATAGTCTAAAAAATCTCATCAAACATACTTCTTACTCTTTCCAAGCTGAACACTATATTATGATACAGAACAACAACGGCATCCAGTGTGCTTCTTTTGAATTTGTGAGAAAACAAATACAAGTCAATGTGCTTTTTTAATGCAGGTTGAAGTGGGAGTATCAATAATTTTCCATTGTTTTGAGAAAAGGTGAAATTATTGCTATAGGTCTAACTTTCACATTTGTATCGCCCTGATACTTTGTTAGGTATTGGGATTATCTATATCTTTTCCCACATTTTCTGTATGAGATTAGTTGAGAAGGATCTGTTTAAGATGCTCTTGAATGGATAATACAGAACATCAGCAAACGTTTTAGAAAGGAGGTTTGTAATTTCCACAGGTCCTAAACATTGGGAAGAGTTAAGTGACTAGAGACATTTTCTGACATCAGCTTTAGTGATGATTTAAACAGTACTATTCTTTAAGCCTGTGGATATAGGGAGCATGAAATCAGATGACTGACGTACAAAAGATTTATATAGGTCACAAATATTCAATTGGTTATCGCTCCTAATGTGCCTGTTACCTGTAAGTTTTTCAAACAGTTTCTACATACTTGAAGAGATTTTAAAGGATAGTAGTTTCTGAGTAAACATCATCAGTCAAACATTAAGTATCACTTACTACCAGCTATTGAGCAAAGCAAACAACTTTATAAAGTTTTTATCATGTCATTACCTTAATACTTGTCTCGTTTTTCAACCTATTAGTATTTTGCAGCATTTTTTTCTTAAACTTTAGAAACTCACCTATCCTACTAAAAAGGGGGGTAACAATCCTCCTGTCCTAGAATTTTTTTTAAAACGTCTTGGTTTTTTTCTGAAATCAAATATGTATTTTTATTAGGTGCAAAGAGACACTTAAATGTATGTTATCTTCTTCATCAAATTATCGAAATGAATGTGTTTTGAGGACATGAATCTTGTTCACGTATGATCACTATGTCACTTAATTGGTGTAAGCATACCTTTTAGTGAAAATACGTATATTATTATATGTTGTACCAGTGGTATTTTCAATTAAATAACCGTGTCATAACGACTAATATTTCTGTTTATCTAATTTGTATGAAAAAAAAAAATGCAAGTTCCATCCAACCCCGTGTTAGTTTTTCTCACACAAATGTGTTTGCATAAGTATGAACCAATAAATAAGCCTTCGCATTCCAGTTGAGTGTTGTTAAATAAAGCATTATTGAATACAAAAATTACCAGATCGGTTTGATAATTTTCATGTTATTAATTATTTCGACGACAGGTTGGTATTTAACCTTGACCATTTTATTCTGTTAGTTTTCGACAGTTCTAAAATCTTTTTTTAGTAATTAAATAAATCTCAGTGTATTTTCTATGTATTGGCGTAAAGTTTAATATCTTATAAATATCTTCATGCAGTTTCTTCACTAAATTCAACCTTTGGTTAAGAAAAAGTTGATGTGATTTTTCGAGGCAAGTACTATTGAAATGCACATGAAGAAACCGGTAAATATCGATTTTTATCATCTTGTTTGTTGATCAAGTTCAGTTACACAATAAAATCAACATCTTTCCGACAATTAACTTTGAAAGATACGGTTCATTTCTCTTTTTCTGTCAAAAATTCTGATTCAAGTAAAGACATCTTTAGTACCTGTTCCTTAATATTTCTCTGTTTTCTATGTATATGGCCTTTGGTAAAACATGTTACGATTTCCTCGAATTATTGTTCGAGTAATATCTATGTTATCTTTAAGCTATCTAAAGCCAAGTAGTGATAAGAACGGTATGGTTGTTGTATCTTTTTACATTTTAATAAACAACTGAGTATATTGAGGCTTCCCACTGGTCCACGATACTTGCAAATTAAGGAGCGATTCACCTATTTTTATTTGTAAAGTGTTGTTGCGGACTTGATAACCGCAATTAGTACACTGCACTTCAACAATTACCCGTTATCACAGGAAAAAAGATGAAGTGTTGGAAAAACTTGATATTCTAGCAGAACATTTTGAATTTGTGCAAATGTATATATAGTAACGATAGTATGACCTTCAAGGATGCAGAAAATAAACGGACTAAAATTAACGGCAAGCAATCAAAGGAGAACAGAGTTCATGCGTAAAATTGGATTGGAAGAAAATCATTTGTGGTTGAGTACTTTCCGAGTCAAGTTTATTAAATATTTCAGCTCGACAGGTTACAGAATACATTGAACTCTTCTTATTTGTTTAAAAAAGAATGTGTTCTTAAAACAGCTATAACATTACCTAGCATCCTGGTTAAGCTTAATTCCATCGATTTCTCTCGGGTTTCGCAACAAATGTGAAAACGCCCGTTCAGAACACATCACTAATCCTAACTTATAACTAAATGTTCCCGGTAGAAAATTGGCGCTAATACTAGATGGAAAGGTCAGCTAATATTATAACATTGAATAGCTACTGAGGTTTCAGCGTAAGAATAATTAACTGATATTAAAGATGTTTTGTAGTACATAAAGTGAAGAATAGTCATTAACACCCCGAGATTTTGCATTAAGGAATGAATTTTAAAAATATGGTCCCTACCAGACCGACTGTGAATTTTAATTTACATTTAATTTTCAAAAGAACTCAAAATATATATACACTAGAAGAATGAATAGATTTTAGATTTTACAACACTTATACGTTTTTAGCATTCGACATTCAAGTGTCCCTGAAATGGATTAATCTAGCTGATTTAAAGATTTAACACTGTTTAAATCCAACTGTAGTTATTTTCAAAGTTTTCGTTTTGTTATCACTTCGAATGATTTTCTTTTATCATTAGTTTCAAATCCTGTGGAATTTGATATATCATCAAATACACCAACTCCATCGGATTCAGCAAATTGCAACAGTACTTTATATCATAAACAAAATGTAGAAGTAACTTTAACGGAACCTGTTTCTTTCTCATTGGTAACTGCATCCACACTATCTGTAAGTCGCTTTTTTAATGTATATTTACAGGATTTTTAGAACTGAAAATATCTGTGTAAAAGTTCTAAAATTCCGTACACATTACAGAGTCTCATTAATTTTAATTAAAATTGACATGTTATTTCACGGCGTCTCATCAACTGTAGACAATCCAATTTACAACTGGTCAATCAATCCCAAAATCGCGAAACTGAAATTTAAAGATCATAAAGAGAAAACATGAAATCAAATTATGAATCACTAGTTGTGACAATTTTTGACTAACCGGGCAATTAGAATAACCTACAACTTGAAACGGTACTCCTTCAGTATATCATCTGTGAAGTAACTAAGTAGGTTAAATCATATGATTGGAAGTTTCACAGCTGTACTTTTTGAACTTGTAGTCATTTTATTAGGCTTGATAATTATTTCCAGATTAGTTTTAATCATCACACTGATATGTAACTGTTAAAGGTTTGAGCATAATATTCTTTATCGTATGGTGACCGGTTCAGTAAAATCGTGTAAACCACAAAGCTTTGGAAATAACAAACCATTAAGACATTTCGGAACTTTTGTGTGCGTTACATAACAGGATACATCACTTATAAGCTGTAGAATGTTGAATTTGTACAGCAAATTAGAAACATCATAGTGTTTTTGGAAGCTAAACCCGTCTTATTACCTCCTTGACTTTTAGCCAAGCATTCAAATGACCCATCAAATACAGCCAACTGTTTCTGTTTTGGAGGATATTAAGCCTACTGGTTTTATACATAAGAAAATAACTCGTCCAGAACACTTTGCTGTGAACAGATCACTTGGACAAGAGGTAACATATGTTTCAAAAATTGTTGGAGATTCCCCCACATCAACACCTACATTTCTAGGTGAAACGACTTCGCATCTTTCGTCGTTACCCAAAACAAGACATGTATCAAAGCAGAGAACATTCCATATTCATCCCAAACTGCCTGAAACATGGGATGATATTCCCTCTCATATATGTGGTATTCGAGGTTCATTTCCCGCAAACTATAAACAGAATTCAGTGTTCAATGTTCCTCCACAATCTTACCCTCTATATACTACAGATTTGTGTAAATCAAAACAACTAGATTCCTTCCGACCCCATGTCCCTCCACGGCCTATTCCTAAAGTAACTCGTGCTGCACCCCAGTTTAGTGGATTCACTACGACTATTGAATCTGAATCACGTCCATCCATCTTCAGTTCAAGTAACCAAACGATTCCAGTTAAGTCCGATTCACTTTCCGATACAACAAAAAGCAAGTCCCTACGTGTCTCAGAATCCGATATTTATGTCAACACTTCGAACATTCGTTCTTCACCACAACCTGATGCATTGATACCGATGACTAAAATTAAACAGCTACCTCAAGGTTCACTGAATGGTGATGATAAACAAAGCATCACCGAAGATTTTGTTAATGACCACGGTTTTGAAAGATCATCTGTTAAATATGCTTTGAGGTAAGCTCAATATAAGTTTGTTAAATGTATGTGGGGTGTCAGTTAGTGTAACCAGTACATTTTGTCGTATATTTGTATCCCAGAAGTTAGCTTATCTGTATTCTTGTATGTCTTTGTTATCAGAGATAGAATCTGTAGTCTCATTGTAATATTTTATTAGCGAAATCCATATAGAACAAATTGTTTTTTTAACCAGACCTTAGTCACTTTTCAGTAGTTTCAGTTATCTGTTTATTAATCTTACTGACTTAAATATTAGGCTGTTTACTGCGCTAATTATTTAGTCATACATAACCTTGGTAGCGTCATTTCTAAAGAGGTCCAGTTATACATAGGGTCATAAATGTATCGACTTAATACTAACTGCAAATAGATGTTTAAACGTAAAAACTAGAGCCAAGTACCCAAACCACCGCTACTGAATAGCACAATATTGTTAATCATATAGTCATTCGATGAATGCATATATATGTAAGGTCGTCGTCACATAAGAGTAATTTGTCTAGAATGCTAACTGTTAGCATCTCACTTCTGGCTATATATATATATATATATATATATATATAACCACACGAAATTGTTTGATTGATCGGAAAGAAAAAAATCGAATTGATTTTTCATTCAATACAATTATAACGCTGTTGCTTTTTCCCTTGTAATTGCAGGTCTTCTGATGAAACTGAGAAATTTCCACTGCCAGTACATCAAGTTTGCGAAAATTCGGAGGTTGAAGTACCACCAATTCCCCCTCGGACGCCACGCGTGCGAATAGTCGATATTAATCAATTATGCGCAGCGTGTAATTCCAAACTAGGTAGTCTCAATAAACCGATATATTTAGTTCATATGCTTAACAATTTATCTATTACATTTTAGAATCATTAATAGGTTTATGCCATCACATAAACCTGACAATGCTTAGTTATGAGCTAAAATAATAAAGTAAGATAAAAATAACTTTTATTTGTAGCTTGGACAAGCTTACCAGTTGTAGTGAGCTACTTTCCTGAGGATCACTTATTTACTGGTACATTTTCCCACAACTTGCAACTAAAATATTTGCCGGTCATCCTACTTTATATCCTGTGTAACACTTGTTTGTTTCGTCTGCACAAATCCTGCATTTACAAGAACTCAAAAATTTTCCATAGTATTTGAACCAAGTGGTTTACTAGTGGTTAAAAGACTCGAAACTGCTAATCACCTGGTTTGACCCTCTTTTTAGTTGCTTTGTTTTGAGGACCTCAGTAATTGTACAAGATTTATGTTGAGTAAAATAAAAAGTTCGTTTAGAAATAACTACTAATATATGATTACTATATGGAAACTAGATGATGAAAATAGTCTGAACAATGATCGACTGTTAAGCCAAAAAATTAAGAGTTGACCTGACAGTTTGAAAAAACTTCATGCGCACTTTCAATCTCTACGAATAACAACCTTACACTTGGCCTGTAAGATTCGATTGCTATGGATTCTTAAGCTTTTATCAGAATGTATGCGTTAAGATTTATCCTCAATTATATTTAGTACCAAACTTCAGGTTTACGTAAAGATTTAAAACATTTATAGGGACATATTTCAACACCCTTCATTTGAGACTCCTGTGTTTAAAATTAAGAAACCTAACTACATTTTAAATCTCAAAACTCTATCTCCGTAAATGCTTTTCTTTTCGAACGATGTTCGCTTTTTGTTCTAGATTGTCGACAGATGCAACCTTTGTAATTTGAGTATTTTGAACCAAACGTAATAGCCTCGCGGTCTTTGTTTATTTGTTGCCACTCAAAAATGAGGTTTGTCATCTAGAATAAACACTTCTAGTCTCCTATTTCAGTATGCATAATAGAGATGTTGATGCCGGAGAAATCAAGCCATAACTAACCCCTGTATTACTTAATGACATACAAAAGCCCGTTGTTACATTAAGGTTCTTTGTGTTCGTCAGACTCCATACATTCCTAACTGCCGCAAAATATTTAACAGCAATTACAGTACAGATACTAACGTTAGAGATCCCAGCTAGGTTTCAGTTTTTCGAGTTATCCATAGCTATTATAAACATCCACAGTTTAGTTTGTGTATAAATTAACAGTCTCTTTCATCGCAGATCGATTAAAATGATTTACTTCATTTACTTTTTACACAGATTCTGAGGACTCAATGGTTATTGAATCCTTAAATCTATACTATCATTTACCATGTTTTGTATGTGCAAGATGTGGAATTGCGTTAGGCGATGGTCTATCAGACGTGGAAGTTCGTGTTCGGCGTAACTTGCTTTACTGTTCACATTGTCATTCCAAGAATCTCACTGTATCGAATTATAACAAGAATGAATGTCATCCAACGATGCGAAGTGTGCAACCTAGCTCTCAACCACTAAAACCCACTGATAAACGACACCGAAACGGTTCAGAACAGCAGTTATCATCTAATTTAAATAAAGTAAGACTAGATAACATTGATTAAAATTTAAATGACATTATTATTCACCGAACCTACAATACGACTGTTATATAAGTTCTAAACTTTAGGCATTATTAAAGCATATTCACATAAGAGCAGCCTATTTTTGATATCATGACCGTAAACTAACCGATAAGAAGAAACCTAAGTCGCTGAAAGTTGGTTAGACTTATTAGGATAGCTGGAATTCCATTGTCTATATTAAGAAAATACACACATTCACTATGTAATGGGAATACGAAAATTGCAAGTAAGATTTTAGGAACATATTATTCAGTATACTAGTCACAGAGACGAATGACTTGTTAAGTTATTCAGACGTTTCAAAAGAAGCTTACGTTGGAGACAAATTTTTTAACTGATAAATTATAACAGCTACCAACGCTGCATCAAAACTTTACGTTTCCCTGGTTATCAGACCAATTTTCGGAATTTCACTGAATGATGCACGGTTGACATGTCCACTATAAGTGTTACTTCTAACCTTTGTAAGTCTTTAGGTGTAAATATCAGAGGAGTCTATTTATAATGTAAATTCTATCCCCTCTCACTTAATTTGCGATATTATCCGCTCAATATCGATTTGCGAAAAGAAAAACGGTCGCAGTGACATCAGACAGAATATCAATCATTGAGTAGTGATCAATTGCATATTTATTTTGTTCCTTAGTCCTGGTCGAACTATATCGATCAAGTTGCAATACAGCCAATGGTTTAAGCCCTTCAAATAACTCAATGGTAAGGTCTCAAGTTGTAGAACTAGGTGACACGGGTTTGAATCCCGCAAGGAGCACCAGTTCCCTTGAGTACGAGCGCAAACTAATTTCGGGGTTTCCTGTCGACTACCTACAACCCCTTGACTTCAGAACATTGAACTGACTCGTAAAAGAGTTTAAATATAGTACGCTAGTTTAAACCATATTTTAACCATCACCCTTTAAAATCCACAAGTTTTACACGAATTATACGGGAAAAATACTTGACCAGTCGTCAGCTTTCATCTAAATGTAAACTATTTTAGATTGAAACCCTGTGGTTATAAAAACAAGTTTTCTTAGCAATTTATAGATTTTCAGTTGATTTTCATAAGAATAACTTTTTCGTTGATTCTGGAGCGATTTGACTGCCTCATTCCAAGAAATGGATGTAACCTTACTGCCAAAACACAAATTAGTTGGCTTTCGTAAATTTCAACACAACAGTGTTATTCCTGCACTGATTTACATACAAGAAATTAATGGAAGATAAACACAATAATATCATGAAGTTAAAATCTCTATTTATTTATTTCAGCATCACGTTCTGTAAACTGCCTTCGTTTTTCCTTTGTTTTAATCAAAAGAACACAATTTCTCAATATTGTGCACTATGACTGACGATTCGAGCTTAATAACTGTAATTTCGACGAGTTCAAACCGGAAATTTAGATCACCAACAAGCTTCGTAAGATGATTCCTACTTAATCATAAATTTGAGCTATAACATGCACTTTTATCTTTCATAAAAACTGAAGCTACAATTTTGTACGCATAATTTTATTTTGCTTGGCGATATCCTCTTATTTTGCTACTATTACTTTCACAATTGATTCGTTAGTTGTCCTCTAAAATATCATTTATATATTATCATCTAATTTTCTCTATATGCGACTCTATCGTCACACTTATGTACAATCCTTTTAAAAATATCGTACTTTAAACTATATAATCGGAATATGTCCAAGATATCTTAAAATACTACTAGTGTGTGTTTATAGTGGCATTGAAATATCAAAGTGAAGATATACGACAAAAAACTAATGCTTTTTAATCTATGAAACTTTTTGGTGATTGGAATATGTTTGTCATTCAAAGTTTACAAGTTATTTCGTTCTTTAAGTGGGGCCCAAAAGTAAGGTGAACGAGATTTTTGACTTCTCCTGAATGAATAAAGAATACATATCGTGTAGTATACTAACATACCTAGGTCGAAAATGAAACCATGGAACACCGAAAGCTTTTGAAAGTTCTACTACAGTAGGCTCTGCAGAATTTTTGATGATTGTATCGGGTACATTGATTTTTAGAGGAGAAGTTGGAGTACGTAGCGATTTAATGTTATGTGAAATAGGCTAAAAAATGATAGGCTAAGAAAACCTACTTTAGTACATTCATAAGGAACTTTTCTGACTGGATGCCAACAAACGACGACTGCTCCATCGGGAGAAAGAGTTATAGCTGACTCACCACTTTAAAGTGATTTCAATAAAAATAAAAATACCTTTCCACCAATTCTTTCGACAACCTATAAGCACGGGTTGCATTGATTTGAAATGATCTAGAAAAAACATATGGGCTAACATTAAATTAATTGTGAATACGTGACATAAAAATATTCAGTTACCAATAAATAATGCTGTTTATTTACTTACTGGAATATAGGCTACATCTATGGTGTGAAGTCCAGTAATACAATTTAGTCCCATGAACCTTAGAAAGTTAGGCTCGAGTATCCAATCCATCGGTTGGAAACAATGCTCAAAACTATTGAGCAACATCGCCATGCATATTTAGTGACAAAATAGTTTTAGTGATCATTGTTCCACCTACAAGGTGGTACAATAAGGTTCGTATTTGTTGTAACGAATAAAGTAGCACATAATAGATGTAGCTCACAACTTAATGGATATAATGTTTTTCCTTCGTACAGAACTCAAGTTGCTTTAAACAATTTTTTGTTACATCAGACATCGATGTACTCCTATGGATCATCTGCACTGCAGTTTTCTCGATTTTAATGCACGCCTACACTATAGTCTAAACGCTTACAGATGGATCACTCACTAACCAACAGACGATTATTAGCTCGATCAACGTAAAGAAAGAATCTCTGAGAATGAACTGTAAGAATAAAATACACACCGAAATTTGGCGCTCGTGTATTCTGAGACAAAATTCCACTCAAATACTCTTGATTTGCCTTTCACTTAGATGAGAGAGATATGTAATACAAAACAACACAACCCACAATAATAGCTCTGGATGTCCATCAATTCTCCAAACTTTTGGAAGACATCTGTAGTTGGATTTGCTATCAAATTATGTAGTGTACAGCATCAAAAGCTGATTGTCTGTGTCAGTACTTATTAGAAGACTTATGCTGCATGTTCTGCTCAATTATATGGTTTCGGAGGAAATACATACTTGAAAAATTCGTGGCAGAACTGTAGTGTTGGGATGAGACAAACTTTAAGCCCTTTATAAAAGTCCTGAGAAATTTACGATCTTTTTCAAACAGGAAATAAAAGTATGTATAAGTACAGCGTGTGGAAAATTAATTCTACCAGCATTTGTGTGTAGGTTTCAAACTAAACTGATAAACTAAAAGCTGGAATGAAAGCCATTTTACTTTCGCAAGAAGACTTTAAATCATAAAATGAAAAGAAGTCTCACAGACCCCATTTATTAATATCTTCCTAAAAACTAGTTAATTTATAAGAGCCTAACAGCTTCCTACCTTTAGATAGATTTTATTTAAACAATATTGAAAAACTGTCTTAAATGGGACAAAAGCAAAGCAAGCAGCAGTCTGTAGTATCTATTTGTACGGGTACAAATCATTTGGACAGGCAGTTTTCGCTCTTCTTATTTCTAGCACATTAGGTCTTCCCATAGTTTCGAAGTGCAATAATATGGACCCATGTTTCTTTCTAATCTACCAAGATGAAAGTCTACAACTTACCTACAAATGAATGTTTTCGATATCAGCATTTCAGAAAAAACTACCCTTTGCTAGACTAGGCAGCTAAAACGAAGAAAAAGGTAGGGCTAGTCATTACAAAAAATACTGCACATTAAAATTTATTGGAATACATTTCATTCCATAAGCAAGCAAAATGTAAGCACCCAATACATCAATTTTCAGTAAAACTTCAAGATAGTAAAATATACACATACGTGTTGCCCTACTACCTTTTTAACTGGGGATTTAGCTGTTTAAACAACTAACTGCCTTTGTTTGGACACTTATCTGTTATTATCATTTGTGAGTATCACTCGACTAAATATCGGTAACTGCTCCCACCACTACAAATCAAATATAGTGAGGCCACAACTTATGAACAATGTTCGAGCAACGCTGAAGTGACCTTAAGGCAACTCACCTACTTAGTAGGGTTATAAATTAGTAGTACGATTTAGAGTTGGAATTCGGGGTGGGGAATTAGATAAAGAGTTTCCATCACGAAATAACATCAGGCATAATCCCAAAATGCAATTTAATTATGTAGATGGATGGTTTTCACGCCGGAATCCGAAACTTGCTATCCTTAATTCCATTGCTTTGTTCATGAATTGTAGTCTCGTCAGAAATGGTAAATGTGAAGTCTAGTATGACGTCTCATAGTAGACCAAACTCACATCACTGCAGCTATGAAAAGAATACTAACAGACGGCAATATAAAAGCAACAGAAAGCGAATCAAATTAAGAAAGATGAGAAGCGCAGAGAGTAACACGAAACAGATTGTTGCACAGATTTTCTCATTGAGTAAGCATGCATATTACTTGCTCAAGAAGTGATGTTAGTAAAAGCGAATACTCTCCCAAGTTCAAATTACCAATACGTTGACCAAGGCCTCAATAAGTCTAACCCAAGCAACACAAAAAGGGGAAATGTCGCTTTTTCGCCTTCACGTCGGTTATTTAGGGGAAATGTCGCTTAAGCGCTTTGGACCACTATTTCTTCCTTTTTATTTGTTTGTTATAGTTTTTTTATTTTGAGAAGTTAGATAATTCAACTGTTAACATTGTAACCCTACTACAGGTTAACATTGAACACCAGAATAGCAGCTTGATGACATTTTAACTATCTCTTTATGATCGGCTAATTCTTCTATTCCTTTGTACATATATATCTTCGGCTCGTATTTGTGAATATCAACCCTGTTACTCATTACTATTCTTAATTCAGCAATGAATTTTTGTATTAATTACTCCAGCTTCAAAAGTACCAACATAATTCCAGTACCGTTGTATATATAAACACTAACTTAGACAACTTATGTACAGATTCCCAGAAACTATTTGTTACGTATTACAGATTGCTGACATGTTAAACGTAGGACGTCTAACCTTGAGATACGGGGTAGATTTGGACTAGCCGCTTCCCAATATATCCAATGTCTTTGTGGCGAGCTCGTACAAACTGATTGATATTACTCAATTGGTACTGTGTACGAAGATAAAATTGAACAAATAAGTTTAAGAAAGAAGATGATAATAAGAAAGTTAGAGCGTAGTTGCTGAAATGCGGCGATGATGGCCGTGGCAATTTGCAAACGTGCGTCAAACACAGTCGGTTCATGAGAGAAATTGTAATCCATTGGTGAGTGCGTGTTCGCCAAAACTTCTCTTGAAGCTGTCAACTGATGGAGCTATGGTCACTAAAATTAGCTTATTAATGTGGACCCGATCGACTTTCGAATGAAGTTTCTACTGAATCTAGTTTAACTCATCATGACAGAGAGTCATAGTCGGAGATTTATTAATTATTTTGCGGTGGACTAAGCTGTTAGACACTATAGAAAGGCTTTCCACGGGGATACACTGCTCACAGCATGAAACTTCATCAAAAAATTGCTGAGAGCACTATAAAGGAATATAGGATAATTGATTGTATTATGAATATATCAATTACGGAAACTACTGAAATCTTATCACATGTTTACTAACATATTTGTTGCACCTAGAAAAGCCAACATACTTTCTTCAAGAGTGGCCGAACTTATTTTAGTTAGGGTACATTTACATTTACAGAGTTCAAATGTATAATTGGGAGTTCGTCAATATGTTGGTAAGTATGTGATCTATGATAACCAGCTGTTTCTATAAATGCACAACACAGCGCTCCCAATATTTGTCTGGTGCTGACGCTTGACCGAGCGAACTCATCAAAGGTTTGTTCAGTGTATCGGCATCAATATTCAATGCTTACAGAATTGTTTATTTTAGGGCTTCATTTAATGCTACGCTATTAATATTGCTCTAAAAAGAATTCATCAGTAAAGCCAATGAGGATTGAGACAAAACGATGACAATTCGTTACTACAATAAATATATTATTATTAAATTTCAGGTAAGATGAGAACCGGCGGTTTCAATCTGGACTGGGTTAGGCATGAAGAGCAGCACAGACCTACCTTCAACTAAGGTATCTTTTGTCTTCGGGACGTATTCGACTACGAAGTATATTCTTAAGTTCGAACTTCTAGATTTCACAGAATTACAACATCAAACAAAGCAGTGTCAAGGTCAGGCAAAATCCAAAACCGAGTGGTAATTTATTGATTTTTGTTGCAAATCAACCAAAATATTTTTCTTCACTACAATAATGGAAACAAATCAACTACAAACCTTCAGTGTTTAAGCATTCTAGAGTTCAGGTGAGAAGGAAGGACCAAAAAGCAGGGATGAAAGCAGGAGATCAAAGTCAACGTCATGAACAAAACAAGCTCCTTGCTGGCCAAAATAAATGTGTTAAAGTAGCGTTGAAAAGGGATTATAATTACGTTGACACTTCAGCATTCAGTTTTCAGTAATCGTAATAGTAGAGTGACTGATCTGTAATAACTCCTCGAGTTTGTTTCACATCCGGTTTTCGACTTAGTTTTGGAAGTGTTCATTAAAAGAGCTGACATCACTCGTTCGAGTTTAGTGATTCAGTTACTGACCACTTGATAAAAAGAGCAATTTTTTAAAATTTATGCACAATGAACTTTGGCCGGGGTGACATGTTTGAGTTTCAGTCACTTTGGTGCTTTAAGGTTAATACTTCCTTATATAAATTAAGTACATACCACTTTTAGTATGACAAATGTGAAGTTTCGTTTCGTGTGATAATTATGTTGCCCATATCAATCCCGTTAAACAGCGCCCAGTGTACTTTTCACACCAATTCGGTCTGTCTCCCATTACACACCTTATTATAAAGTGTAAAAATCAATACACAGATTAATTATCTCCTGTCTAAGGAAGATATGATTTTGAACGTGATATTTTGCTTGGGTAGTGCTTTCTGACAGTCACTTCTCATCCGTAAGAAATTTCAATCTGTTTGTATTGTTTTAAATATTTCGACAATCTATCAAACTTGCCAGTTTTGCCATTAAAAGACAGAAATTTTTGAGGCAGGTTAACGATAAGAAAAAACTGACTATGATGGAGTTTTGTACTCTGAGCTGGATGGTTTGATCGTGTAGCTTTCATCGTTCTTCTAAACGACATCATCAACACAAACTTCAGATAGAAGTGAGGTGTTCGAATTTCTCCATATGTGTTTCACAGCTTGTTCTGTACACCTCAATGGTGATTGCTCCTTATTGACCTTACATTTGTCATTGTTTACTTCTTTGTTTTGGTTGTGTCTCCCATTGGTCTGAATTTTGTTCCTATATTTGTGCATAATTTGCCTGATTGGTTGATAAATTGGATCGATTTCAATGTCCCTGGTGATTGCTGATTGACCTAAGTGTCAGGCTTCAAAAAATGCTCTGATGTTTTAAAATTTCCTCTGTTCAAGATTTCCACAGTTTGACAATCGAATGAGCTTCCGTAGTTGTCCACGTGTATTGATATAAGTGAGGAAGTATCATGGTGTTTGACTGCCAATTGATGTTCGTGTAAGCGAAGGTGAAAGGGACATCCGCTTTGTCCAATGTTGTTTTTTCGCAGTTGGCACAACTTATTTTGCAGATGATGTAGCGGTAAATAAATCCCCAAAATAAATAGCTCTGTAAGTTTTCGACATTGGATGCTGACCATATGTTTTAGTGGACTCATCTAGCTGAAGGCGCTCGGTCAGGCATCCGCACCAGATCACGTGTGGTAACGCCGTGCTCAGCATCAACCGCAATCGCCAGCCAGATTAGATCAGAGAATTTCGATATATTGGTCATCGCCAAATATACTCTTCCGATCTCCTCGACTCTGTCTTTTGATTTCTCTGGGCGGGAACGAAATATATTAGAAGGCGTTACTGGTAGAAGCGTTGTCAACACTGAATACCTGTGACATCATCATTGGTGAGACTGACGTGATCTGGTACACCTAATTGCAACTGTGAATCTGTTCCTTCTTGGGATTTTTATATATCACTGCCTTATGTTTTTTTTAAACATTGTGATTTTTTTTCGTAATTTTTCTTGGATATATATATTTTTTTTCCCCTCGTTCATTATCGTACTTCATACTTCATCATGACTGAACAGACACCTAAAGTACTCAAGCTTAAGACTTTGTCCCCGCCTTCGTTTCAACTGATGCCTTTCTGGCCCGACAACATCGAAGCCTGGTTTTGCTATGCAGAAGCCGACTTCTCCGAGCACGGCGTGATCGACACACGTGCACAATTCCTCGCAGTAATCAAGGCACTACCGCGCGAATTCAACAGGTACGTAACACCTAGTATGTTTACTAGTGATGTTTCCGATCCTTACGAAATCTTAAAACGCTCGATTCTTGAACGAGGAGACCTAACCGATCGACAAAGGTTAGATCAACTCTTCAACAATATCGACCTGCAACACGGTTCTGCGACGGACATGTTGCAACGGATGAGAGAGGTTTTCGTGCCTTAAAATAACCCTCGTGCTATTGATAGAAGAAACCAGACAAATAGTGAATAGGTCTTTATTTCGATCTTAGCGCGGTCACAGTGGAGCGTGGGATTATCTGTTCAGACAAACAAAGGCTCTCAGCATTCAATATAAGATAATAGGGAATATAACGCTTGTACAAAACAAGGAAGTGAATGAATACTTGAACAATACTGTTTCGGCATATGCTTGATTGTTTGGGGTCGACTCTTAACCAACCAACCTAAGCTGTTACATTAGCTTCCCCTTAGAATCGACTTCCGTAGGAACGTCGGTTCGATTAACCTAACTATCGAAAACACCTTAATTCTATTTCTCATCTCAAGGAAAAATTATCAACTCGCTCACTGTTTGACTTACAATCAGTGACGACTGACGCTGTCAACGATAGTCCATGGATGTCTCTTCCTTACTAGCTTGTCATCTTATTTTGTAGCATGTGATTTCTTCTACAATTATCGCCGACGGTTTGCTGCGTGCTTTCAAGAGAAAGTGTGAGAATGTGGAATAAGAATATCTGAGGAAGTGCCGCGAGCGGGCTACCCAACACCATGTTGGTGAGGTACGATTTTTCCGTGCTCAGACCGGCTATCAGGTGTTTACTCACCTGCCTCTTGAGTCCCCCTCAAGTAAAAAGTAAAGAAGAATCTACTTCAGAGGTAATGGTGAAAATCAAGCAAACCTGAAGAACTGCTCCACTGCCTGCATAAAATAATAAGATACAAAATGGAAATACATAAATGTAATTGATAATTGTTCGGTTCCATGTAAGTGCTTGGTCTCCAGAACGGATTGGTATTCTGGAAGAGAATAGACATAGTGTAGATATCTTATGCACGAAAAACCATGAAAACAAAAAAAATACTCTTTTGTAATGCATATATGTAAAAGGGTGAACTTGCTAGAAGTTGGACTCTTTAACAAAATCGATCAAACGCGTGACCTTGAGCCTGTGATGACCGCGTTTTGCAACTAGGTGCGTAACCAAGGGTGCATCAGAATACTCCACAAAACGGAAAAGAATATACGGTTAAGAAGCAAAAAAAATTGTGTAGAGTATGCGGATCAAGTACAGTTGTGTCAAATACCCTTTTCTGGTTTGATTTAGGTATGCCTGATATATTGAAGCAATATATCGTCAATTCATCCAAGTAACGAATTGGTTTGCACCTCAGAAGTGTGTAAGTCCTATTACTCATTAGTATTATGAGTGATTAATTGGTATAAGGAAATATTGAAGTCACTTCCTACGTGGTCTGGTGTGGCTTAACGGCTAAGCACGCGGTCTAGCATTCAGGAGGGCAGAGGTTCGAGTGCGTGTGGGGCCTGCGTTTTTGTTCACCAGACCCACCTTCAATACGATGTTTGTTGCCCGTAAGTCGCGCACATATGAGAGAAAAAATGACAAGAGGACAGATTGATATATCAAAGTGCTATATTGGAAAAGTATAAGTTCTTTGTTTATTATTATTATTATTATTAATGGCTTTATTCAATATTATATTTTGGTACAATATAGAATTCTCAGCACAGGGTATTTCAACA